GTTGACAGCTCGTTGGTCTACTGCGACAGGTTTACTAATGTCAGCTTCGTCTATTTGTCGACGTCTTCTGCACCGTGGATTGCGTGCAAGGGTGCCTTTATACAGGATCCTCCTTACGGCAAACCATTGAAGGCTGCGTCTTCAATGGGCTCATGAACACAGAGCCTGTCAAGCTGATTGGCACCAAGTTGTCTTTTCAGATGAATCACGCTTCAATTTGTTAGGAACATGATGGCAGCATTCGTGTTAGACTCTATGCCGGTGAACGCTGACTTCCAGAGTGTGTTATCGAACTGCATAGTGGTCTAACACCCGGAGTTATGGTCTGGGGTGCGATTTCGTATCATGAACGATCCAATTGTGACGGGCTCACGCGTCTTTTCATTAACATGTCCTTTGGGTTCTTTTGGGGCCAGAATTAATGGCAACTCTTTTCCAACCAAAACCCAAGAAGTGAAACGTGAATAAAAGATGCAAATTAGAAAGCTTTTAAATATCAGAAGTTAGAGTAAACGAGGTGGCAATTTGGGGAATGTTATGATAGAGCGTGATACAATTGTGAAGTGACAGCCAACAGAGGTTATCCCGAAGATAGAGCCAGGTCAAGGTGCATACCATTGCACTCGAGTAAATACGCAACTTCTATAAGATTGGATCGGCGATTGAAGTTAAGGTAGGATTGACTATTTAATATTAGGATCTGAGATATTATTGGAATTGAGTTTAGGCGTGTTAATTATTGATAGTGGTCCGAGTTACGTTATTTCGGTATTATTTATATTGTGTGTTTTGTCATCGTAGATTCTCTCACATATATTATTATTATCTAACCTGTTAGACGTTTAAGTTTAAGTTCTTAATAAAGCCTTATCAAGAACATGGAAACTTCTAGTTCTTTCGTTAATCCTGCACCTCTAGCTCACACAGATAATCAAAGAGAAGGGCACCCAAGGGGGGCGACTTCACACAATTTGCTACTAATTGAAGTTAATCTCAATAGTAACAGGTACGTCCGTGAAGTGCTACAGCCCGAAGTCGTTCCCTTCTTTCAAGACATCCCTGGAGCTATCTTTCAGTAGGATAATGCACGCCCACATGTTGCAAAGACTGTTAGAGACTTCTGTTCAGCTCAACACATGCAACTTCTTCCTTGGCCTGCTTATTTGCCGGACATGTTACCTATTGAGCACGTGTGGGATTTGGTTGGCCGGCGTCTCGCTCGTGATCCACGTCCTGCAGCTTCAAAAGACGAACTTTTGCTGCTCATACAAGCAATATGGAATTCTCTACCACAAGCAAACATTCAAAATATGTTTGACTCCACACCACGTCGTATAGCAGTACTTATTGCAGCGCATGGTGGCTGCACCAAATACTGATTTCGGACACTTAATACTGTTTTTGTTTTGTTTTTTTTTTGCTTTGAAAATGTGGACATTTATTGGTACTAATACAAGTCGTTCGTGCATTAAATTTCATTTCAATCTGATTATTCCTTCATGTGGTGTTGTATTTTTTACAAACAGCAGTTTGTATATATATATCACTCTAAAGCTCTCATGTAAATATAGGGTGAACGAAAAATATGGCCCTGATTATAAAAAAATTCATTACAAAATAACCATTTAATATAATAATGTAACTTTTGTATCATTGGATAGGTTAGTTTTAGTAGTTATTTTGTGTAGTATACAGCGTGAATGTGTGTGTGTGTGCTCCTTCAAGAGTGACTTAGGGGAACATTTAACATTTGTAAAAAAAACATATATTTTTTCCGAAAAGGCGTCAATTTAAGAGAAAGTCCAATGTGTAATTTGGTTTCACGAAATGAAACAATACCATTAATGTTCATTGTAAATTTCCACGTTGTTATGGAATCGAACTTCCAGGAGAAAAACCAATAAATCGATGGTATGAAATGTTTCAAGAAATAGACTGTATTAAGAATCTTCCAAAAAGTGGCAGACCGAGTGGGAGTGATACTTGGTGGGAACTGGAATGCCGCTTAGACATTCTCCGAGCTTCCAAGAAAGCACACGTTGAAAATGACTGAGGTAAATGGCTTTATAAGAAATTCATCATAATATCTACAATATATCGAAAAAATCATATGTCTAATTGTGATAGTTTGAGCATAATAAATATTTATAATCAAGATAAGACTTTTGTTTTTACCCTATGTCATTTATCCTAATCACCGTTTATAACATGTGATTCTTGAACAATATTTTATTAAATTTTGTTCAAATGTTTGATAAAAAACGGTATACCAATTTGTTTAAGGTATCCGACTACGTTCGGAACCTTGATTTTGCAAAAGGCGCATAAATGGATAATTTTCATGATATTTAGTGTCACTTAGGTTAGAAAATGTATATAAAACTGTTTTAAGAAAAGAGTATTACAATAAAAAATTATTTAAGTACAATATTTCGGCTAAAAATTAACTTTGAATAAACTTTTTTTCAAAATGTTCTCCTTTTGTGAAAAGTGCTTCTATTATAATAATATTTTGCCTGTCTATAGCTCAGACCTCTGTACAGAGGCTCAACTAGAATTTTTGAAATATATAACTTAGAAGTGGGTTTATCTGTGTTTTACGGCAACAGAGGGGAGAAATTTTAAGAAAAAACGCCGATAATTATTTCAAATGATTGTAACTCTGAAAATAATGTGAATTTTTTAAAAATATCATAGTTGAGCCCCTGTACGGAGGTCTGAGCTATGTACAGGCAAAATATTATTAAAATAGAAGCATTTTCACGAAAGGAGAACATTTTGAAAAAAGGTTATTCTAAGTAAATATTTTGCTAAAATATTGATTGTGTTTAAATTATTATTATTTTTTTTGTCAAAATGTCCTTAAAACAATTTTATACATGCATTCTAATCTAAGTGACACTAAATATCATGAAAATTATTCATTTATGCGCCTTTTTAACATCACGGTTCCGAACGTAGTCGGATTCCTTAAGTACTTGTGTTTAATTGCACAATTAAAAAGAATCACTGATTTCGGTTTCTGAATTTATCCATCAACGTAATCGTAGAGCATTTATTTTTCCAATACCAAATCAGGAAAACTATTTCCCAACCTTCTGTCCTCTGCTCCGCTGGCAATGTTTTTTTTTTTTTTTTTTTTTTTTTTTTTTTCTTTAATGCTCAACTCCTTGAAGTCCCGAGTTCATCCAGAAGGTTAACCTCAAGTTGTGAAAGAGTTCTTAAAAACTATCCCCGGACTTTGAAGCTTTAATGACCATCATTTGGCCGCCAAAATGAATGCCGGGAAACGTGTTGATTTCTTGCTGCGGCCACTAATGATCCTGACCAAGTCATTTAACCGGCCAAACAGACGTCGAGGAGACACGGAGGAAGTGAAGTGAAGTGAGCAATTACGATTTTTCTCTCAGAAAATATCCACGAATTGCCAAGGGAGGGGTTGGATTTATAATTATGGGTTTCGATCTTGTCATTGATTGGTGGAATGATGAAACCGAAAATATCGCTGCTGTTATTTCTTTTAATGTACTGGCGTATTTTGTACTTCCTTGCAAGATGTTATTGTGGACTTAGAAAAAGAAACTTAATATTTCTTCCGGCGGTGTGTCATTTGTAATATGTTTTTTGGTATTTTTTCCCGTGGAAGTTCATACTTTCACTTGTTTATTAAAAGAACTAAAGATTATTTTGAGATCATATTAAATAGCTACAAATAGCGAAAAATAAAAATCACAAGTCAGAGCAAAAATTACTTTGTAATTCATATATTAATTAAATAAGAGTAAAAATTTTCACAGATTATAGCATTTAATGAATGTAGACACTTTTATATAATTCGTAAAAACACAAGTAATATAAATTTTTTTTTCAAGTCAATTCCTACTTAGGTCAACAAAGAACATTATTTTAGTTTACTTCTTATTAAATAGTTAAAATTAATATAAATATGTATATACATATGACCGAATCACAATATTAAGCGACAAAATAGAAAGCGATTTTCCTTTCTATATATGGTGTTGGACTATTGCTTTTGTTTGTGTTACTGTTTATTAATTCATTAAATTTATTTATTCTAATAAAATAGTATAGTTAAAAAGAAATCACATTCTCAGAAATTAGGCCATCCCAGGTGGAATTCGAATCCACGATCTTTGAATTAGAAGTCCTAAGTGCTATCCATTGCGCCACAGGGACATAACGAACGATTTTCCTTTCTATATATGACGTTGGACTATTATTTTTGTTACTATTTATTCATTTTTTAAATTTTATTAATGAATTAATCTTTGAAAAAAAACTGTATTAAAATCAAGTGTCATGAAATGAAATTTTTCTTTGTTGACCTAAGTAGGAATTGACTTTTAAATTTTTTTTTATATTATTTGTTTTATATGTAATAAAAATTCATTGCAACTTTTATATGCTATTTTTAATTATCATTCTATTTCATCATGTATAATAATAATAATAATAATATAAATTTATTGCTGATTATGTCCCCAATATTAGAACAAAATTGGTTTAATTTTTTGTATGTATAATTAATTAAAATGACGAATAATCATCGAAATTCAATATTATAAGATTAGTTTAAAAAGTTATTAAATTGATCAATTTATATAATTATAATCATCATATTGATTATTGTATTACTGGACACCAGTGGCGCACACAAGGGGGGGGGGGCCGGGGGGCCGGTCCCGCCCCCCTCCAAAGCCCTTGATTTTTTTCCCAATTGATTATAATTCTAAGTATATAGTGCGTAAAATTTAATTAAGTATTTGTTATTAATGATCAGTTTTATTAATTAATGCTAATTATTTATTCAATAATTAGTTTTTTACTGTGTTTTGTTCCCGAAAATCGACAAAATCAAAAGGAGCATGATACAAGAATGGTGAACTTTCGACTCCGACCCCCCCCCCCTTGAAAAATTCCTTTGTGCGCTACTGCTGGACACTCTTCCTCCAATTTATTTTTCCGGTTATGCTCCTTCCTGACTGTACATTTGCCAAAACAATCTGCTGACTGCTCCCTAGCATGTAACGACATTTCTCCTTAAGCAAAAGCCAAATGAAGCCCCCAAATCTTCAACCAAGGCCGACTCCTTCGGGAAACTGTCACCCCACATGAAAAATTTGTCCTTTTCCAGCGTCTTCAGCTGTTTACAGTCCTTTCCTGCTGTCACGTCTTAGAATCCAGTCACGGACTCTTGTCATTCCCATTACGTACACCCCCCACCGACGATAAACGAGCGCATCATCGAATGAAGACAAACCCCACCCGGATATTCGGGGACAGGGGACGTCAAATCAATTTGCTTTCACTCGGCTACATCACAAAGGAATGTTTGTGGCCACGCTTACTATGAGCGTACCATGGATTAATCTGATTACTTAAGCAGGGAATCCCTGAAGACAAAAGGATAGATGGTGGTCAACTGAGCAAACGATTACGAATCTTTTCGAGTTGCGTTGTAAAGTCAGTTGTGGAGAAAGGGGTTGTTAATTTTCCGAAGAAGGGGTAGAAGATTTACGAGTGGTGACATTTGATTGTTCAAGACATATGATACTTATTTTTATTTAATTTAATAACTTGATGTAAGGGAGAAGTCTCTTACAGTGTCTTCTAGCATTTGTTTCGATTAAAGCTTTCTGTGTTTGCTTCAATGAGTTTTCTTAATGAAATTACTTTAAATATATTTAATAAGTCTTCCCAGTTAATTGATATCTTAATTAAAAGTGACCTGTTTAGATATAAGACTTATCTCTTCAATCTTTTCCACTAAAAAGTCTTCAAAAGAACTGTATGAACTCATTAAAACATGATGAGATCCATATGTAATGCTACTGATAAAACAAGTACCGTTAAATCCACCGTATAACGCGCACTTTTAGCACAAAAAATAAGATCGAAATTTAAGGGTGCATGTTACACGCCGGGTATAAAAACGATAACTTTTAATATAACAACAGAGATGAGCACTAAAATAAATTTATTTCCGCACATATCGAAATACTGTTTATTTTTTAAAAAAATGTCATGTCTTATGAACTAAAAGAGAGTTGTAGTAGTTCGAAAGCATACTATTTTTTTAAAAGTCTGGGATAATACCTCGAATAAATGACTTCAAAACATAAAAGCATTGTATACAACATTTCAGATTTCTTCGTAAAAAAGGAGGCGTGCGTTATACGGCAAATATACCTAAAATTTTTTAAAAATGTGGCTTGAAAGTATAGGTGTGCGTTATACGCCGAATTTTACGGTAATATAAAAAAAAATTAAAGGCAATTCCTACTTAGGTCAACAAAGGAAAATCTTATTTTAGTTACTTTTATTACATAATTACAATTAATATAAATATGTATATACATATGACAGAATCACAATATTAAGTGGCAAAATAGAAAGCGATTTTCATTGCAATTCTCCATTTTCCTTATAATATATGGTATTGGACTATTATTTTTGTTTGTTACGATTTATTCATTAATTAAATTTAACTATTCCAATAAAATAGTATAGTAAAAAGAAATCACATTCTCAGAAATTAGGCCCTCCCAGGTGGGATTCTAATCAACGACCTTTGGATTAGAATTCCAACACGCTATCTATTGCTGTAAAGGTACACAGCAAGCGATTTTCCTTTTTTTTATATATGGTGTTGGACTATCATTTTTGTTTGTTACTATTTATTCACTAATTAAATTTAATTAATGAATTAATATTTGAAAAAACTGTATTAACATTAAGTGTCATCCGCTACAAGTTTTTAAAAAATATATTTGCTCTCGAGGGGATGAATAAAAAGTATTTTATTGACGATTGGAAATTTGAACAAGATATATATATATATAAATATATATATATATATATATATATAAGGAGAGTGTGAACTAATAGTAGGAATTAAATAATTAGGAGTCAACCGTATCACCTAAGCAAAAAAATGAAAACAAAAGATTAGTGTCGTCGTTTTCACTTGACTATGGCTCAAAGTTACAAGGTCCGTGGCCAATAACTCTTGTTTTACTTTGAAGTGTTAAATTATTAAACAATCAATCAATCTAAAAACAAAAGAATGCAAGCTTGAAAACTATAATCAGTAACTGTATACTTCTTATTCCTCACTGAAAACCCGATGTAGAATTGGATAATTAATTTAATTATTAACGTTATATTTAGAAGTGATACGAAACCTGTGAACTGTGTGAATCTCGTATCTGTGAAACGTAAGCGTGACAAGAGAGTTGATATCCATTCTCCAAACATCTACATTTGTGACGGCTCTATCCTCATCCTTCCTAATAACAAGCCCTCTTGGGAAATCTTTGATCTTTTAAAATTATTTTATTTGCAACGAACCCTCTGAAGAAGAGAACGGGATTATTTAAATTAGGTTTTCTATTATGTAGTCCAGGCTTTCAAGCTATAGGGGGAGAAAGTGAGAGAGATAGGATAGATTACTAGCGGATCAGAATTTAATCAAATTGATAGTGTTACGCAGATATTTAATAATTATAATTATTAAAGTGACGATTGGTCACTAGAGATTAAATAGCTGGGAAAGTAGATACGAACCTAAATTAAGGTATCCGACTACGTTCGGAACCGTGATTTTGCAAAAGCGTATAAATGGATAATATTTATGATATTTAGTGTCACTTAGATTAGAAAATGTATATAAAATTGTTTTAAGAAGTGTATTACAATAAAAAATTATTTAAGTACAATATTTTGACAAAAAATGAACATAGAATGACCCCTTTTCAAAATATTCTCCTTTTGTAAAAAATGCTTCTATTATAATAATATTTCGCCTGGATATAGTTCAGACATTTGTACAGAGGATCAATTCAGACATTTGTACAGAGGATCAACTAGAATTTTTGAAATATATAACTTAGAAGTGGGTTTATCCATGTTTTACGACAACAGAGAGGAGAAATTTTAAGAAAAAAACGCCGATCATTATATTTCAATGGGTTGTAACTCTGACAATAATGTAAAATTTTCAAAAATCATAGTTGAGCCTCTGTACAGAGGCAAGAAAAGCAAAAGCAAAGCAAAATATTATTATTTTAGAAGCATTTTTTTATAAAAGGAAAACATTTTAAAAAAGGTTATTCTAAGTTCAATTTTAGCCGAAGTACTGTATTTAAATAAAAAAAAAATTTTGTAAAAATGTCCTTTAAACAATTTTATGCATATATTCTAATCTAAGTGACACTAAATATCATGAAAATTATTAATTTATGAGCTTTTTTAAAATCACGGTTCCGAACGTAGTCGGATACCTTAAGTGTACTGTTATTTAAAGTCTTCTCATACTTCGAGTACCTCGTTATTTATCTACGCATTGCTTCAATTGGGCGCATGTCTTAGTTTAGATTGCTTGAACTTGTGTTGTTGATTGCGTGATAAATAAATTGAGTAATTTTGGATATATGGCTAATCTTCCTTCCCTTCCTCCCACATCTCTCTCTCTGGGCATGAATGAGAGAACCTCACATACTTGTTCAAAATGAGTATTTAGACCGTCGCCGAGTTTAACGTGTCAACTTTGCTTCATATCAAGATTTAATGCCATCAGAACTTTAATCCGAGGGATTTTTAATAGATTATAGTTCATGATATTTGTTAAAGGTATAATGCTTATTTTTTTTAAATTTACTAACAATAGAAAAATGAATTTTATTTTATTCTTTCTTGAATATATGAATTATTATAATTTTTAATATAATAATTCTTGAATATATGATTAAAATAATTTCGACACAAATATCCAGTATTTTTCATCTCAAGTTTCTTTGACAATTATATATTTTTTGTAAACTTTTAATCTTCTTAATAGATTTAAAATTTTATATTTAAAAGTTATTTCTCTTCAGCTTGAAGAAATCAATTCAGTTTCTCTCGTTATTTAAGCTGAACCATTTAAAAACTGAAAGATTCTGTTGACAATGGGCTCAATTCATGAAGTCACATGATAAAAACAAACACGTGTTTTCCATTGAATTCAAAACAAACATTAAACCAATTGCACTTGTTCTATTTGTAAAACTCAGATAAAATGTCAAATTTCATATTTGGGTAAAGATGTTTAAATGTTAGAAAAAAAAAAATTTCTTCAAAAATTTTTTTTAAATTAAAAAAAAATCATATTTTATGTTTATACTTTTAAATAAATA